CCCGGGGCCGGCAGGAATCTCTCTTCCCCAGGGATGCCAAGCGCGACTTCGCCGTCGCGACCGTAAGCTGGAGAGAAAGAAAGTTGGTGTGCGTCCTCTCTTCGAAAGGAAACCTCGGTGTAGTTACTGCTTTCCTTGTAAATCCGGCGTTTTATAAACTAAAGATGCGTGTCAGTGATACTTTTGGTGCTGCACTCTCCTGCACGCATTCCCCCATGTCTCTTGTTGACTAATTTTGCTTTTTTCTCTAGTCTTGGGCCCTGGTCATGCAAACACGCATGGACTTAATGTACCTATGAGTGACTCGTGCCTGAGTTTAATCACGGGACTTTCATTTGTGATGTCCTCTGGATAGGGATGTCATATTTTCCAGTTTATGTTTGGTCCTGTCGGCTCAGCAGTAGGGCCTCATGGCAAAGAATGTGTAACAAATTGGAGGAAATGTTGAGAAAATCAACATAACTACGTTTTGAACAGCTAAAGTGTTTACACGCTGCATGCTTTAAAAGAAATACAAACAATGTTGATTCCTTCCAAGTCCCTTGAGAGGGAAGAATAAACTTAATTTTCCTCAGTTATATAGGGAGGAAACTGAGACAGAAGCAAGTAAGTGGTGAGTCAGTCAGTGCTCTGGTGCCTTGGATTCCCAGGGTTACACTTGTGCCTTCACACAAATGTCTTTCCATCCCGAAGGGGTGGTTTCCAGAGCACTTGGTGGTGGTCTGTACAAGCCTGTAGTGATCAGATATCCTCCCAATGACCTGGATAGACATGGACAGAGAAAGGCAGCGTCCTCCAAGACACAGGTGTCCATGCACACGATCAAGTAACACTGGGTAAGGCTGTAAAATGCCTTTACCCCACGTTGGTTGCTCATCGTCTTCTCTTGTAGTTGCGACAGAGGTGTTTGTCAGGCAAGCGTGTGAAGGGAGGTGATTCATGCTATAGACACAGCATTGGGAAAAAGTGTTGTGTATCCAGGTCAAAATTCTGATTTTGCCACTTGTAACAATCGTGCAATAGCAGAGACACCCAAGTAATTTTGCTTTATCTGCAAGTTCAGTAAATGAGTCAGATACAATGAGCAAGGAAAACAACAATATCTACTCAAAATACAGTACAAACGTCTGCATTTCTGAATGTTGAGGACCTGTGATGTACTTCAGACCTGTGTCTGCTGGTTGCCTCCCCTAAGAGAAGTCACTGATAACTCAGGGTTATCAGTAACATGATGCTGGGTGTGCAAATGGGTGTTAGAAGGAGAAGGGAAAGGTGATGTGTGTGGGAAAGTGGATTGTTGGTTGAGCAGGTTATTACTAAGGGATCCTGCCTGGTGGAAGAAGGCAGTCTGAAGAGTCTCATGTGTTTGGCGTACACATGGGTAATATGACATGTAGGAAGTCTCCTAATGTAACTTTTGCTATTTACCTGGATATAAAAGGCAGGCCAGTGTCACTGTAAGCAGTGATGAAAGATTAGGGGTTTTGAATGTAATTGCTTAAAAGCAGCAACATCCAAAAGGAGAGGCTTCTTATAGGCACATTCTGTTTTACCATCCCCCCATCGAGCAACATAATAATTTGCAAAAAGATGAGACTGAGAATTGCCTGCAAAAAAACAATTCTTACAAAAGGCAGTTATCCCAGAAGGTCATGGTTTCTCCCTTGGGAAGTGACAGGCCTCTATGGCAGCAAACAGCTTTTCGTAAGAGGAAAGGGCAATGCCTTCACTGCTCCACTGGACAACTTTGTAAATTGGGCTCTGCTTGTGGTTTACTATCAGTGCAGCTTCAGATGTGATAATGAAACAAAATGAAATCAATACCCAGTGAGTTCAGATATGTGAGAACTTACAAAAGACAGCACAAACTATACTTTGTTTTTTCTTGTCTTCATTTTTCCCCTTGATTTTTTGTCATTTTAAGGCTATGTATTTTATCAGCCCAATGCATGTTATTTTTCTTTAAATATACCCAGTCCTACTTGTTTCATTGCCGTGTCCCTCTTCAAAATGTGCTGTAATGGGAAGCAGTGACAAATAACAGCTCTCTGCACTTTGATCTAGGCAGCATGTCACATCAGTTCTCATTAAAAATGGCATTAACCAATCCAACCATGACTTTCTGAACTGGAGCTCCTGGGGTGTATACCTAATTTAGGTATAACGCAATATCATTCACAAAGGCATTTCTCATGCATATTCTCAAAAATACCATAGAGGTCAAAGCATTTCAAAAAGGAAATCGCCAGCAGAAGTTTTCACAGAAAGGAGCAGTTTTGAAAGAAAAAAGCCAAACCCCAAACCTGATGGGAAATGTATTTTGTGACTGAGGCCCTCTGCAAAAAGTATTAAAATAGGAGGAAAACTAACTTGTTGGACTTGTTGTGTGACACTTCAAAGATCTAGGCATATCAGCATAGCACTTGTCTAGGTAAAGTGCCGACTGGTTGGCTGGCAGCCAATGCCAATCTGGTGGTGAAAGATGCTTGAAAGAGGGAGAGGATGGGAAAGAATGGAGGCAGCAAGTGTGTGGGACACTTTATGCTATGGAGAAGAATAGGATGGGGCAGCAAAGCTAGGATTTACTAATGGCTATATTATGTTTTTAAAAAGAAGGGACGTAAAGATTTATTGAAAAGGAGTGGAGTGACTAATTCGCAAAGAATCAAGCGTCTGTCAGATTTCTGTGAATTGCCCATGGCAAAATAATCAAAATAAGTAGGGAGAAGTTTTTTTACACATCCAGCTTGAGCTAGAAGCCACAAGATAAGCCTGAAGACTGTTTGATAGAGAGAAATATTCACTATGCGGCTTCTTATTTTGGCTTCAGCTGCTTGGGGAAGAAGTTAATCTGTTTGACGATTTGAAAGAAATGGTAATTGGTTTGTTTCTTCCTTCTTTCTGAACTGAAAATGCCATACTTTAGGGGGTATAGCAGAAATGGGATTTATCCATTACTTCCTCTACTGGTTTTAAATATTTAGAATAAGGTGTTTAAGCTGCTGATTTTTTTCCTTATTCTTTGTTTAAAAAGTAATTGAAAGAACCTCTGGCAATATTTCCTAAATGTTTGGCTCCCAAATTATGCAGACTACTTGACTTTCCCCTACCAGAAATTTTTTTCTTCATTGCAGCTATTGAAGACAGTGGAATTTTATGGTTGCTTTAAGGGATGCTGAATCTGGGTTTAGTTTTGTCAAACATGTACCTGTGGTAAGTCTGTCCTGGAAACTAGGGCTCTGAGGTGGAGCAGATTACCTCAGAGGTCTATCCTTTATTGCTTTTCCCTGTATAGGTAGATAACTAATCTGATAAGTGTGTTTTGGAAATGAATTTATTTTAGTCATCCAAGACACAGTGCACGTGTTAAAGTCTGTTGCCTGGAAGCAAACATAGGAAGTATAGACCAAGCATAGTAAAATGAAGTTATTGTGGCCACTGTCTATAGGCTCTTTTCTCTTTTTTTTTTTCAGATACACAAAGAGATGTGCATGCACATGAAAACACAGAGCCCATCTGCTAGAATAGACTTGATGGTTTCACAGAAATGAGGTTGGTTATCCATATAAGGGGTTTTTTAAAGTTTTTCTAGAATGGTTTAAGAAGTAGATGGAAATAAAGGTATAAAATGATGTAAGAGTAGACCCTGCAGAGCTAGGGCCATCCCAGACAGAAAAAATCAAAGAAAGATGTAAAGAGCTCAAACTTAGCCAGTGGCTTTTCATAAAATTAGCTCTCTCCTTCTTGTTTCCCCACTCACTTCTGGCATTTAAAATGTGATTTTGATTTGACGATTCAGAGGCAAAGAGGAGCTTCTCTGTGTAGAATTACTTTGCTACAACCACAAATTTCATGGTGCTGTTGCTGTAAGCAGAGCTTGAGAGCCATGTCCAGCTCCCAGTGAGCTTGGCTGGGATCTTGCCATTGACCAGAGTGAGGGGTGGATCAGTCCTTGGGAGAGGCTGTTGGAAACACCAACTGGAACACCCAGTGCTCATATGTTGGTGACATTCATCTGGAAGCACAGCAAACAGGGGCCAAAGGTGTTTCTTCACCCAGCATACAGGCAGCCATCCTAACCCTCTGCAGCACTGCCATCCATTCATGGCACTCAAATACCATGAAAATGGGTGTGGCAAAAATGTCTTCATAAATGTTGTTTGAACCTCCCGTTGCTTGCACAGTGGCTTAGTGATGTTGTGACTTAAGGGAAAGTAAACCACCTCAAACAGCTAAACCAGCAGATTGAAAATCTGTTGCAATCTGGGTAAAAAATGACCTTCTTATATCTTCTTGCTCTGAAGAGCTGTGCAATGGATCAGAGAAATAATGATTCTGATTGCTGAAGACAAAGGAAAACTTCTGGAAAAAATTAAATGCTTGTAGAGTGTTGTTCATTACTACTTAAATTTTGTCAGACTGAAATTGAACTTTGATTTTGATTAATTTCTTTGAGAAAATGGAAATTTTGGCAATTATGTATAAACTATCTAAAGAAGCAGATATTTCATTTCCAGACTGAAAAATACAGTAATGTGATCCGACAAGCTTGTGTTTAAAAGTCTCGAGTAGCATCTAATGCACCTGGGAGCTACTTTCCTAGTTTTTATTCTCCTTGTAGCTCTTTTGGGACCAATGCTTCTCCAGGTTAATAACATCCTTTGGGAAATGGGATTTTCATCCCTTACAGAGCACTGCCCGTGGTCTTCATTTCACTTGGCAAACTTTTGTAGCAGGGGAGGGACAAAGAGTAGGAAGCTGAATCTGTTCCAGGCAGCCCTGTTAAAAATAGAGCTGTTCCCTAGTGAGGGGAGAAGGAAGCCCTCCTGCCCTCCTGACCACATCTGAGCCAAGTGGCCAGCTGGGCTGGGTAGAACTTGAGTGTTGCCTTGAGGAAGCAGGTGGGAAATTTTCTTTCATGGTTTTGTTCAGTGTTTGTATTTGGTGATGGGTCTCTTGCAATGTTCATTAGATACACAAATGGCCAAACAGAAATTGAAAATATTTAAATTGAAAGTATATGTTTTACAGTGCTCCTGGGGTTTTGCAGCAGAGCTTTGGTCGACTTGTATCCAGTCTCGTTCTTGTGCTAAGGTTGGTTAATTCTCAGTGTGATGTTGCAGCAGCCACTTTCAATCTTGATCTTGCCTCGCAGCTCTGACAGTCCTGGTGTTCTGCAGATATCTCAGACATACCCAGGCTGCAGGCAATTTTTCTTTGCTCAGTTACAAAGTTGACTTTTGTTCAAAGCATTCACTGAATTTTAAACTCAGGCTCTCAAAACCACTCATATGTTCAAGCACAAGTGTATTTTATCAAAGCTCCATCCCAAAGGGGCCTAACCAACACTTTCAGCAATGACATACTGAAGGTGTCAGCATGGCCACCAAGGGCACAGTTGACTCCAAAGAAATGTAAAAGCATTTGTTTCCGAAGTAGTTTGCAAGTAAGGAGGAGGAGAAGAAGGAAACAACAAGAAGTCTTGGAGAGATGATTTCTAGTCTTGGCAGCTGATGTGGAACAGAAGCCTGGGGCAAGCCTCTGCTCTGGTTTGATGTGCAAAGCTGGTGCAAGCCACTCGCTTTCTCAGGGCCTCAGTTGCCCTAACAGTGGGAAAAAGTAGCTAATCTGTGAATAATGTCACCAGCTAAAAGGAATGTTTGTACAGTAAGAACTGTAACTTGGGTGAGAGCTCATATGCAGATAGAATGACATGAATATGGCTTTCAATAAGAAATATCACAGAATGGTTGAGGTTGGAAAGGACCTCTACTGTTCCTCTGGTCCAGCTTCTCTGCTCAAGCAGGGACACCCAGAGCCAGTTGCCCAAGGCTGTATTCAGATGGCTTTTGAATATCTCCAAGGTGGAAGTCTCCATAACTTATACAGGACAGCCTGTATATACATTGTCTCAGGGTATTCCCAATCAACTGCAGTAAGTTCTGAATTCCTTCCATCATTTCCATCTACTTACCAATGTAAAATGTGTGTTATATGCATATATTTGTATGGGTGATGTATGTACATATACAGTATGTATATATGTATAAAATATGTCTATTTTCTATATGCATAAAGTCTTTGAAACATCTGGATAATGCATTATCCATGCATATGGGCTTCAAGTCCATATGCAGCCAGCCAGCTTGCTGACTGCCTGAATAAAACTGCAGCCTTCCCAGACAATTCTGTGTGCAGCTGTAAGGGGTTCTATAAGTTACCTAAAAGCTGCCAGGTTCTGTTGAAAAACTCTTTATCTACTAAGAAAGTATTACCAGCATCTTCTTGGAGAGAAGCTCCAAGTTTCTCAGACCAGTGGCTAAATTACAGGTATTTTAGGTAATAAAAGGAATAGAGAAGGAGGAAAGGAAGGCACCAACCAGATGAATTCTAGCTGATTTCTTTCCTCTCCTATGTCTGTGCTTGGTACAAGAAGCAGGAATATAACAGCCAGGGTTTTGTAAGACAGGTCTGTGTTTTTTGTGGCTGATGCTATTTAGGGTTTAGAAAAGAGTGAGTGAGTAACTGCTCAGAGTAGCAGAGGGCTGCTCTGTCCCCTTTTGGCTTTTTGCCTCTCACAGGCAACTGTGCCAAGCAGTTGCATAGCCTCTGTGTCCAGAGGATCACAGAATCAATTTGGTTGGAAAAGACCTCTGAGGTCATTGAGTCCAACTTTCGACTCATCACTACCAAATGCCACATCCAGTTGTTCCTTCCATCGTCCATTCCAAGGACGATGACTCCACCACCCCCTATTCCAATGCTTAACAACCTTCTCCATGAGGAAAGTCTTTCTGATGTCCGACCAGAAGCTTCCCTGGTGCAGGATGAGGCTGTCTATGTCCTCTCATCTTTCCGCTGGTGGCCTGGGAGAAGAGGCTGATCCCCACCTGGCTACATCCTCCCTTCAGATAACTGTAGAGAGAGATGTGGTCTTCCCTGAGCCCTGTCTTCTCCTGGTCAAGAACCCCAGCTCTCTGAGCAGCTTGTTGTGGGACTTGCTCTCCAGACCCTTCACCATCTTCTCTGGATGTGCACCAGCGCCTCAATGTCTTTTTTGTATTGAAGGGCCTGGAACCAGACACAGGACTTGAGGTGTGGCCTCACCAGTGACGAGTAGAGGGGGACAATCACTGTCCTGGTCATCCCTCCTTTCGTGGCTTTTGTGTTTGGACAAAGTTGCAATTATCTTGTGGCAAACAGCACACAGAGGTACGTTTTCTTCCCACAATGGAAGGAATAGCAGCAGGACACAAGCCTTTCATCCCATCCACTGTTTGTGGTCCTGGGAGCTCCAGCACCCCTTTCCCAGCCCTCCTTTCAGCCCCTTCCCTTTGCACTGCTTCCTGGCCTTGCACCAGCAGGGATCACGGACCTGTGGAGAGTTATAAAACACACCTGGCAAAAGGGACATACTCACACCTGCATTGCCTCGTGTGGTATGGGGCTGTGTGTGTGGGATGCTCCAAGAGGGAAACAGAGAGCAAACATGTGCACCATGGAGCAGGTAGCCAAGGTGTGCTGACCCTTACACTGCTGTTTCTCTGCTGGACACTTGTGTGCACAAATAAACACTCCATGTGCAGGTGACCTGTGGAACTGTTTTTCCCATTGGAGTAATCGCAGCTACTCCAATTATAACCACACGTGTGTGCGACTTACTCCTGGCAGATAATTCAGCGATTGTAAAGCTATCAGGTTACTAAAAATATCCCCTTCAGCCCGCTCTTTAATTACTGAAACTGTTTCCCATCACATTACAGGAAGAAAAAGTACATTTGGTAGTAATTGTCTGACACGAAGGCGTATACACAAAGATTTCTCTGGTCGTCATACAAATGTGGTAGACTCCCTGAGATATTTTTAAAGGAGACTTTTACAGAGGTTGCCTCCATTGTGAATCAAGGCGCAGACAGCTGCTGCTGCTGCTTTCATTTTGGTCTCTCCCAAATCTGGAGGAAGCTGATGTGGTCAAAGTGAGCAGCTAGTTGATGAGACTGCGTTGATGCATGTCCTGGGAGCAGAATTTTCTTCTGAGCATTGTTGCGTGTGACATGGGAGCGAGCTGCCTGTGATGAATGAAACTTTTTAGAAAGAAGAGGAAGGGGTGAAGTTCATATCCACACGTCTTGCGGATTTTCATTCTTCCATAGGGGCACAGAGAGACATATGCAGTGAATGGGACCTGACATTTCACTTAAAAATTGTAAAATGTCTTTCTCTAGCTATGCCTATTTTTATAATTGTATATTATGAATGTAGACAGTAACATGGCTAATGGTTTCTGGCAATGCCACAGGGTTCACATTCCTGTGGGCTAACACCTCCAAGGAATATGGGAGGAGGGGAAGAGGAGTACGGATGGTTGGATGTAAAGGGCCCTCTGCAATGTGCTCCACTACTCTCAGGCTCTCTCTCACTTGAACATTAAGATTGGGAAACCAAGAACTTGAAAGAAATTAATTTGATTGCTTACATGATTCGATTGCTTTCATGGTCAGCCATTACCAAACTGTTGTTACTCATTTTGTTACTGTCTGACATGAGTCTGT